TACGATAGATAGATAGATAGATAGATAGATAGATAGATAGATAGATAGATAGATAGATAGATAGATAGATAGATAGATAGATAGATAGATAGATAGATAGATAGATAGAGAGATAGAGAGATAGAGAGATAGATAGAGAGAGAGAGAGAGAGAGAGAGAGATTTACTTATTAAGAGGGTAAGAATCATCAGCTTCACTTGAAAACCATCCAAGCCAACCTGCATTTAGGCCCGGGGGGGTCGGGCAGGGTGGGGTGGAGTGGGGCAGCCGGGAGACAGCATGGACTGGGCTGGCCCCAGTGAGCCAAAGAGGCGGAATTTCTCTCCTCCGCTCCTGCGGTGTCCCCCGAGGAGAAGAGGAGGAACAGAGCCCCGAAGAGACACGACTCACCAAGTCAGACTCGTCACCATCTTCCTCTTCCTCTCCGGATTCCCCTGAGTCCTGCTCTTCTTCGGATTCTCCGTCGGCCATCTGCAAGAGCCAAAGAAGAAAGGAGTGGAAAGTTACGGAGTCACAACCAGAATCAGAGATGGGGTTTTTGGGGGATTTCTTAGGACTACTAAGCCCATGCTTCTCTGTCCGGAGTCCTACCTCACATCTGACAGACACCTCAGTGTGGCTCACCTGGGAGGAAAGGCCTCCACTGGAAGGAGGCCGAGCTCGGCCTGAGCTTCCTGCTCCCAGTGGCAGCTGGGAGCTTTCTTTCTGAACAGGCTGCTAGGTGGGGTGGGGCCTGGCTCAGCCTTAGCTCCAAGCCTTCCGGTCGAGGCCTTCGCTCCCAGGTGAGCCACCCTGAGGCGTCTTTAAGGCATAGGTCTGTCAGGTAGAACTCTCAGATTGTAGCCCAAGAAATCCAAAGAAACATACTGTCAAATTCAACAGGCACATGCAAAATAAAAACGAAAGATTTTTAACTGATCTGTTGAGTCAGATGATTCTATAAATGCAGCTGCCCTCCCGATTTTTTAGATTTTTGCTATTATCCCACTGAATTACCTGCACTTCACAGCAATCAGAGCACCCACTTACTGGTGGGTATAGGGGGAGCCCATGACAAATGTCATAACATAACACAATACAATATAACACAGCAACATACTAACAAAACAGAGCAGAGCATAACAAAGGCTACCCTGCTACCCTAAGATCACACCATGGAACATAATGCAGCATAACATAAAGAGTGTTACTGTTCCACATCACACATGTTCCCTTCCTTCTTTCCCATTTCTGCAAGTAAAAACAAGTACAGTGGTGCCTCGCTTAACGATTTTAATTGGTTCAAAAAAAAAATCATCGCTATGGGAAAAGATCGCTAAGCAAAACACGGTTTCCCATAGAAATGCATTGAAAACCAGATAATCCGTTCCAATGGGAATGGATTGCCGTCCTTAAGCAAAAATCGCCATAGGAAACCTCGCTAAGCGAAACGCGGTTCCCCAATTGAAATGCATTGAAACCTATTCAATGCATCTCAATGGGGGAAAAAATACAACAACAAATTAAAAACGAGTCAGAACAAAGTCAAATTTGGTTAACAAAGGGTTTATTAAGTGCACTTTATGATTTCAAACATTTTAAACAGTAAACTTTAACTTTATAAATAACAGGAAAACATTTAAAAAACAGCAAACATGAGGCTGTCTAAACCATCGTTAAGCGAAACAGGGGACCCAAAATTTAATCGCTATGCGAAGCATGGTCCCACACATCGCTAAGTGAAAATCGCCCATAGGGACCTTCGCTAAACGAAGTGCAAAAATGCTCCATAAAAGACATCGCTAAGCGATTTTGTTGCTAAACAGAGCGTCCGTTAAGCGAGGCACCACTGTACAATAATTAATTAATTAGTAACATGATTTAATTTCATGACCTTTCAGGACACCCAAGCCTGCTGTTTTCAGAGAATGGTTCACCCTGTATAATGGTAGAAGCAACTCTGGTGAAAGCAGCAGGCAGCTCAGGGTGATTCCCATAGTTCTTCATCGTGCTAATTGCCCCCAGCCAGGAAGTCATCCCATAAACCAGGGTGTATGATGCAACAAAATTAAAGGACATTTAGTGCTTCATCTTCTGAAGAAGAAATTGTCCACTGTTCTTCAATGCATTTTAATGCTGCAGCATCATGTTGTTTTAAATGTATATCTTTTGCGATTTTAATGTTGTTTTTTTATGGTGGGGAAGGTTTAAATGATGTTGTTGTTGTTGTTGTTGTTGTTAGCAACGTGGGGTTTTATCTATTGAAAAGTTTGTAAGCCACCTTGAGTGCTCTGTTTTAGTGAAAGATTGTGTAAACATGCAATCAAGAAAGCCAGCTCTGCAGTGCTAAGAGGATGACAACGCAGATGGTTCTATACACTTCTCTAGTTTCTCCCTCGACTTGCCTTCTCTCCTAAGCTAAACAGCCCCGGACTTTAAAGTTTTCTCAAAGATTTCTGACTCCTTGACTGTTTATGGATGAGGCTGGCATGGAAGCTGACTCACTGCAACCCTCATGACAGCCACAACCAGCTTCGGTGATGCTTGTATTGGCTGTAAAGCCTGTGGCCTGGAACCGCCTGGTGGCCCTAACTGGGGTAGACCCATAGAATTGGTGGGAATTACAGGCGTGTTGAGTCACCGGTCAGCAAATTCATTCAGTGGGTCTCTTCCGGTTGAAAGGTCCACCTTTCTCCCCCAAACGGGATTCAAGGCAGCAATAAAAACTCAACTGAAAGACTAAACAGGTTTTTGGATCTAAATACCATTAAAAACCTATTTCGGCAGGTTTCTGTCCAATATATATATATATAGAGAGAGAAACAGGCTTCAAAGGCTCCTTGATTCTTAAGCTAAAGGATGTGTTTTCTTTCCTTGCGCCTGCACAGAAGACGCGGGAGCCCACCTGTGCAGCAGCCTCGCCCCTCCCACCCCCCACGTCCACCTCACCTTGCTGCCCGATGTCGAGTGAGCCATGCTGCTGAACATCTCGAGCACCGTCCGCTGCTTCAAAACTTTGGACTTCTTCTTGGGAACCAGGCTGTACGTCCCCATTCTTCGTTTCTTCTTTTTCCTTGCGCCTGCACAGAAGACGCGGGAGCCCACCTGTGCAGCAGCCTCGCCCCTCCCACCCCCCACGTCCACCTCACCTTGCTGCCCGATGTCGAGTGAGCCATGCTGCTGAACATCTCGAGCACCGTCCGCTGCTTCAAAACTTTGGACTTCTTCTTGGGAACCAGGCTGTACGTCCCCATTCTTCGTTTCTTCTTGCGAGAGACGGAAGCAGCTGGGCAGGGAAGAGCGGGAGAGAAAGCAAATCCCCGTGAGACCAAGACCGACACGCATCCAGAGCAGGCAGGCAGGGACCCACCCCAGAGCCAAGGACGGTTTGAGGAAGGAACCGGTCAGCCGTGCCAGCGACCGGCTTAATGGAAAAGACACTTTTCTTTGAATGACCAAAGGAACGAAGGGAGGTTACGTGCCTCTTGGTTGGTGCCTCTCGTCTGGTCTTGTCTCTCAGGTATGGGCATTTTCAGATTCATGGACTACAGTTCCTAGAACTCTGTAGGAATTCCTCCAACTGGACTTCTAGAGGCTTTAGCCCAAAAGCCCCAGTGCTTCTGCAGTCACTTTGAGCAGAAGAATCCGGGCTTCTCTTGGACACGACGAAGATCAGAGGAACTGGCTGGGTGGGGAGATGCAAGGCGTGATGGGTCTGGTAGTTTCCCTGAGGGGCAGAGAGGCTACCAAACCCACCATGCCTTGCAGCTCCCATAAAACCTAGACCCACCCAGCCAGTTCCTCTGATCTTCGTGGTGTCCAAGAGAAGTCAGGATTGCACAGCTCAAAGTGACTGCAGAAAGCACTGCGGCTTTTTGGCTACAGCATACAAACATTCCTGCAGACATCTGGGGGTTGCAGGCCACGCATTTCCAAAAATCCAAATGCCGATCGCTTACTGCTGTGGTCCCCAACCTTGGGTCCCAATATGGTTTTTGGACTAAAACTCCCAGAAGGCTTCGCCCCCTCGCTGGGCTGGCCAGGATTTCTGCGAGGATAAGGCAAGCAGGTGCCCTTCCACAACTTTTGGACAACGAGTCCTGCCAGCCGGGTTTAGCATCGTTGATGATGAAAGTCCAGGACCCTGGGAAGGCTAGTCCAAGACAATTTAAAGACACTGGCTTGCCTACCGCCCTTCGTCTATCTGGAGTGGCAACAAGCTCTCTTGGGTCCTTTGAGCCCAGGTCCAAAAGCACCCGCTGGGCTGGATGCCCCAATGCCCTTTCCCCCACCCGACTGACCGACCGCCCACCAAAGGGGGTGCATACCTGGGCACCCCTGCCTTTTTACCTGTCTGTGATTTTGAGGCAGCCACGTAGCTCTGGTTTTGAGGTAGAGACGAATGAAGGCCAGGGATGGGGGGCAAAGAGGGGGTCTTCCCGAACTCGGACACATCTCTGTTGTCGTCTTCCACGGGCGCCTTGGCATCTTTGGACTCTTTACTCGAATGCTGGGGAGCAGAATTCAAAAAGGTTCTCTTATCATTTCTGGTGGGCATGGACAGAGGGCAACGGCTTATGAAAAGAAACATATATCCTTTTTTTTTTAAGCAACAAAATTAAATTAAACACACAACAGGAAAGCAGGTGGATCATGTGGCCAGATGCCCCATGCCCAGGGCGGATTTGATCTAAATCACAATCTGAATCTAAAGAAAAATAATAATTTTTTCTGATCTACAAATTTAAATCTTTTATTTTTTAAAAAAAATGGTTTTTATCCACCCTGTCTCACAAAGCACCCTTCTGCTCTCTAATCATCAGAAACGTTTCTCTCTCTCTCTCTTTTTTTTCTTTCTCACTTCAAGATAAAAACTCCCATTGAAAGCGAAAGGCCCTCCCAGCTCAAAGTATGGATCCTGAAGCCCTCTCCCTTTCAGCCTGAGAGCACAATACCCTCGGGGAAGCCACCCACAGATTCACCATCTCCTGCTTTCCATTTTCTTTTTTAAATATAGGAAGATCTGACCAGGACGTCAAAGCCAGACACCCTGGGGGATGATACACCAAAACCAATAGTGGAAAACACAACACTCTGGTTTAAAGAACCTAAGGACAGCCGTGCTGAATCAGATCAAAGCCACTATTCTCATGGGTGGGCCAGCTGCAGCCTCCCCTCCAGGTATTGTTGGGCAATCATCATCATCATCATCACCACCACTGTGTGCTGCCAAGTCGATCCTAACGTCTGGTGGTTCTTTTTAAAGGATTTTCCAGGCAGAGAGTACTCCAAAGGGGTTTCCCCTTGCCTTCCGCTCAGGGTAGCCCTGGGATTGCTGGGAAGCGTGCCCAAGGCCACCTAGGCTGGCTGTTCTCGGGGTAGCCCTGGGATCGCTGGGCAGCGTGCCCAAGGCCACCTAGGCTGTCTGTTCTCCAAGGCGGGGGAATCTAACTCCCCACCTACCTAAAAAGCAAAAGGGGGGGGGGAAATCTAACTCCCCACCTACCTAAAAAGCAAAGTGCGCTGCTTATTGACCACCCCCTAGTGCTTCAAGCACTCTCTGGATGGTTTACAAGTTAATCATGTAGGCTACAAATCCCCCCCTTACAGGAGGCTGAATATTCAATTTACCGACCTCCATGCAGGCTACAAATCCCCCCCCCCTTATAGGAGGCTGAATATTCAATTTACCGACCTCGGAAGGATGGAAGGCTGAGTGAACCTTGAGCCGGCTACCTGGGATTGAACCCCAGGTCGTGAGCATAGTTTTGGCTGCTGCAGTGCAGCCGTTGAACCCCTGCGCCCATGAGGCCCCTAAACCACTGAGTTATCCAGCCAGCTGTTGGCCAACAATGCCCATAATCCCTTACTGTCAGCCACAGTGCCTAAGGGTGATGGGAGCTGTGGCCCAGCGTCATCGGAGGGGCCACGACTGGCCTACCGAGTGTTTGTGATGACCAGCTTGTTCTCTTGACAAAACTCTATTAGCCTTTGCTCTGCTTAGTTTGTTTTGCATTCATTTTACCGTGATTAAATACCCTAGGTGCATAAACGTATATGCCTCCTAAGTATGCTGACCTGAAAAAAAAAATCATAACATTTTCTTGGTGCTAATAACTAGTAACTGACTACGAAGTTATCATTCTAGTCAGGTTCTCAGATCCAACGGCAACAGAGATACCTCTGGAATATTTCCATTTCAGTTGTCAGGTAAAACAAATCTTAAGAGAGCAGCAGGTCTGAAAAATTTCCAAGCAAAATATCCAAATGCAACAAGAATCAAGCAGCAGTTGTTGTCATTGTTGCTGTTGTTGCTGTTTTTAAAAACAGAACATGCTAGGAATTACCTGGGGAGGGTGAGCGTAGAGGAACACCAGGATCAATATTCTAGGCAATTCGGTGTGTTTTTAATAAGAAAGCACCCTGCCAGGTGCAAGAAACACAACATTTAAACAAAAAAACCAAAGCTGGTCGCTACTCCGTTTCCGCCCAAAAGCGATGCGGGTCTTGTGAGACGGACGGAGAGAATTTAATGGACTCTCCCTGGATCTCACCTGAGGGCAACGTGACGGCCAGTCGCCGAGATCTGAGCAAATTAGCCACCAAGACATAAGAGGCAAGAATAGAGAAAAGGCCGTACGTGTGTGCTTTCCTTTTTGAAAGAACGACAGGAAGACCTTTGCGTTTGGCTCAGGACTTGTCTGGCACAAAAGGCGGCGCCAGGAACGCACATGGAGACGCCGAGGCCGATATCGAGCACCAGCCAAACCTGCATTTCAGGGGAAGGGAAGGGAAGAACTGGGCTGACCTCCCCCAGGCCAGCTCCCATCACCAGCCTCTCCAGGCCAAGGTTCGGTGGCGTCACCCGGACAATCTCCTTTCCTTCAGCCAGGGAGACCGGTCCGGGCAGGAGTCTCGAGGCACCTCCAAAACTCAAGGGATTGTTTTTAAAATCGGGGGGTAACCTTCCACAGCGGGAAACTTGCTTCTTTGGCTACAGAGCCCACGTATTCTCGCGTCCAAGCCAGAGGTTGGGAGTTCGATTCATGCACCGGGCCTCCTTGAGAAGAGCCCCCCCTTCTTGCCCTGCAGCTCCAAGCGTCTCGAGGCTCTTTCTGCTGCCACTGATTGACACACAGTGTCCCCCCCCCACACACAATACCCATCTGCCACCTGGAAGAGGGAGGGGGGAAAGAATCACAGAACCGGGAGGGATCTTAAGCCATCTAGTCCAGGAGTGGGAAGTGCATAGCAGCCCCCCCCCCCCCGAAGCCTCAACGGGCCTCACCGAGGATGAGGGATGCCGGGGGGGGGCTCCTCTATCTGATAAGGTTTCCCGTCGTCTCCTCTGAACTCACCCACATAACGCTCACCCTGCAAGGAGAGATGTCGCTACGGATGGAATTCCGCCTCTCCTCCAGGGTCTCCACCGGAGGAGAAATCCCCGAGAACTGCCCTGCCTTCTCCAGGCAACCCGTCCCACCATCCACTCCCTGCCGGGGGAGTTCCTCAAAGGCTCAGGCGAAATCTGTTTCTGGGGAGAGGTATCAACACAGAATGTGTGCTTGTGTGGATTGAAGGTTTAAAGGTCTTTGCCCGAGCCAGGTTGTGGCACTTGCACACAACGGGACTCCCACCGATGAGAATGCGTCTGTCACCAGCCAGGCTGCTCTAGAAGACCGGCGCCCGTCCGCCAGATGTCTCATCGACAGGGGAAGGGCCTCAGGTGGCCTGTCCTAGGAGAGGGTCCCGCCAGGGACAGAAGAACCCAACGTGGAGCCAAACTGGCAGCGTCTCGTGCCGCAAGACCTAACCTCGGATAGGTAGGTAGGTAGGTAGG